GATGTCCCTGGCATACTCTACTAACTAGACATTTCCAACAAAGCATCAACGATAGTTGGAAACGTGGGATAATTTGCATAACGGGCGAAGCCCGTTATGCATAAATTATCCCACGTTTCCAACTATCGTTGATGTCCCTGGCATACTCTACTAACTAGACAGTGATTCCTTATATTTCCATTTCATTTTGAAATAAAATTGTAAATTTAGATTTTAAAAATGTAGACTAATAGATTTAAATTACACGAGGCCTCACATGTCAATTTCAATAGTCCCCGCCCACTGACGTCAAACACAAAGACAGCTGCACTAGAATTACATGCATATTAGGCCTCCTTAGAGTCAGACACAAAGACAGCCGCACGAGAATTACATGCATATTATGCCTTCTTAGCTACTGACCTTTCGCTTGGCAAAATTTGCATTCCGTTAGAATGATCAAGAAATCAACTCTCCTAACTTTCAAAGAGTTATCACAGAGAAAACAAATAGAAATGGAAATATCTTACATTATAACCACATCTTTATGTACTGCATAAACTGGAAAGTTTTAGGAAAGCATGGAAAATTATCAGATGTATTTAATCAATTAAAGCAATCAATTAAATCAATTTTAATTCTTTATAAAAAGAAAAAAATATGTGCATTACTCCTGAACACTGCCATCACATCACATTTTTCCTGTCATAATAAAGATTTGCCATAACATTTTCAAAACTGGCAAAGTGGTATGTATTTTATACAACATTCTCAATCATAAATCCTTCTTTATATATGCTCTCAAGACATTCTGTCTGGAATCATGTTTCATGTGTTGTGTGAATATGTATATTTTTAAATACAATAATACAATAATACACGGATTAAATTGACCTATATTTTTAAATACAATAATGCACAGATTAAATTGACCCATTTTTGCCATTGATATTTATTTTCACTCTCAAAACATAGGTAATCAAGGATTACGAAGCTCACCTCGACAAATATTATCTATATAAAGTAAGACAAATCTCACATCATATTTTTTCATGCAAGTTTGGTTTAAGTAGGACTTAAAGTTACTTGGCAATAGACCTCGAGATCCTCTTAAAACTTTTAATCTGTTTACTAATCAAGAAAATTTTGATCAGTTGCAACATCCAAATCAAGTCTTGAAGTTTTTATCCTTAGATGCACCAGCTATGCAAGTTTAATGTTAACAGGCCATAATATTATAACGCTATTCCAAAAACATTACCCTGGTCACTCATCTGGAAAATGTAGGTCAGATTCAGAATACAAAGCAAGTCTGGAAGTGTCCATCCCTAGATATCCATGCTAATTTGGTTAAAATATGACTAAAATTCACTCAGGTCAGATCCAGCATCCAAAGCAGGTTGATTAGTGTACATCCCTACAGATGCTTCATCCATGAAAGTTTGGTCCAGGTAAGGTTTGTAGTTACTTAGGAATGGACCTGCTCCAAGATCTTAACCTGGTCACTCATCTGGAAAATCTAGGTCAGATTCAGCATCCGAAGCAAGTGTGGTAGTGTCCATCCCCAGATGCATCATTCATGCAAGTTTGGTCCAGGTAGGGTCATAGTTACTTGGGAATGGACTTGCTCCTAAAACTTTAACCGGAATGCCGACGCATAAGCTCATGAAATATGCAGATAGTGAACAGCATTATTAATCTCAAAAGTCCAATGAAACGATACAAATTTGGAGCAGAACAAACACGGATCTCAAATTTTAAAGGTGGGATCAGGTGCCATGGAGGAGTGAGCATCCCTTGCCGACCGGTAAAACCTGCCGTGTGCTCCTTGTCATGATCGGGAAAACGGAAAAAATCCATAGACAATTCAGTGTTTAAATAATGGCCTAACAATTAGTATGAAAAACATCAGTCAACATTTGACTCAATGATAGGTTGTCTATCGACTTTTGTCTATCGACTATTGACTTCGTCGAGGTGAGCTAAAAGAAGAAAAGAATTCTTTAGTGGAATTGTACAATTCAATTTCCATATTTTAATGTAAGGACTGACAGCCCTAACTACATACAATGACCACCAATGACCAATGATGTAAGTGCTCCCATATTTATAATTACCTGTTTACAATTACAATGTACCAGGTAATTATTCAGTTTTCACCTCTTAATATTAATAAATATGCCCATTGAGTTCATTTTGCTTCATCAAAAATACTAGTAGCAAGCTTTGATAAACTCAACTGCACTGTGTGCAAAACTTGTGCAGGAAGAGCGAAGGTTGTATCTAGTGCATCATTGTTGTTGTCCATGTCAAGGTCACATTTTATTTACAGCATGAACTCATAAACAACATTGAATAAGGAGCCAGACAATAATTTTTTTTTTCTCCATAAGGGTAAAATTTTTAGGATCAGAAACTTTAAATACATATAGAGGCTCAAAATTGTTTATTACATACTTTTACTAGCTGTGAAGAGTGTCAAACATGAAGATAAGAGGTGTATAGTTAGAAAGATTGCAAAATTGTGTTACATTTCAAAGCCTCACAGTGCAACTACACATTTTAAATGAGCTAGACTGGTTTCATAGTAAAAACAAACATGTATAGATTATTTCAAGTATTTTGAAAAACAATAGGTATGAAAGTATTCATTATGACAAGTAACTATCATTAAGCAGAACCAAGTTTTAAATTGTAACAGTGGGCTGTTTATACCGAGATTTGAAAAAAAAAATTCAATATTCATGAAAATGGCTAATATATTCAGAACATACAAATTTTCAACACCTTAAAGAACTATACCCCATGATAAATTAAATACCAAACTTTTTGACATCATAAAACAACTTGCTCTTTCAAAAGAAATGGAATTTGTAAATTTAAATAACTTGTCACTGGTCATTGCAACCTTATTTTTTCAAAAACATTCCGATTCTTATACGTTAGTAGACTGAAATTGATATTAAACAAGAGGCCCAAGGGCCTTAATGGTCACCTGAGTATAATACAACACTGTAAAGGATAGAAGTATAAAGCAAACTTAATTGATAGATGAAGCTATGTTTCCCAAGAATTTCAAAATTCTGGTAAAAATACCTTTGCATATTGTAACATGCGAGACCGTAGCAATCTCCTTGGTATTGCACTTGATTTCTAAGTCTTACAAGGATGATAATGAATGCAAAATATATACAAATACAATGGACACTTGCTTAGTGTGTAAAATATTCAATATATACAGATACGTTTTTGTCACTTGCCTACTGCTACAATTAAGAACACAAAAGAAATCTCAAATATTTGTATATTTAATCAAGGAGATGCCTGTTGGCTACACAAACAATTTAGCTGTTTGCCACTTGGTAACACTTGGTACTAACACACTTGTCTATTGGCTATACAAACAACTTGGTAATACTTGTTACCAGCACTTGGCTATTCAATGTGGCTATTTGTCACTTGTCAGTAACTACAACAGGTCTGGATGATTTCCAAATATGGACGTTAAGAACGATAACTGAAAGTTGCTACAAATATACATCATATACTCGTAAATATTAAAAAAAAAAATTAATATATGTAACAATGCGATGGTTTACAGAGGAATAGATCACACTGACAAACTATTATCAAGTACAATTATAACATTTACCAGAACATACTCTATGTTGGTTAGAGGTGAAACGAATGTTCAAATATTTGCAAATGAATGGTAAATGGCAAATATTCGAATGATATTTAGCATTTGAATATTTGGTCACATGATTTATAGTTCAATGTTTATTTTGTTGCTTAAATTATATTGGTACTTTAATGACAAAAATTTATAGTATTAACAAGGATTTAGTGCTACTTTATCATTTTGATGCTTCAACTGAACTGTTGACTATCTCTCAGGATTTTATTTCTGTTAAAAAGTACCGGAAATATGATTAGAATTTAAACAAAGAATGCACATAATTTTTCTCAGTGTAAATCCCTTTAAATATATGCTCAACATATTTCATTTTCATTTTGAGTGTAATTTACACCTACCAATTTCATCACCGATCATTTGCATCACGCCATTTCCATGCATATTTCTATCATGGGTGTCACTAAATCACAAATGTGTTTTCTTTTAAAAAGAAATAATCATAAAAACTAATTACTGACTTTAATTTTTTGACACACATTTATTTACAGACTGACCTCTTAAACTGTTAGTTACATGTTCAGTAATGCGTAACGCGAATACCCCCCTAACGCACATGGACTTTCACACTTACGACTTTTTCTACAGCAGTGAAATGTTATTCTTACTATCTAACTGTGACTTTTCTGTGTACTCCCTGCATAGAATTTACAGGTGCTGACAAATCCCATTGCCTGACGCCCGTGGCTAGTGAATTTCAACTTTTATGGGTGAGCAAGTGGAATTTTATCAACCACTTGCCCATGGGCAAGTGACTTGAAAAAAATAAAATCCATATGCAAGTCATAGATCTAAAACTTTGTACAGGGGTTTGCATGATCTACTCAGTATTTGTACAGTATTCCATTTTCTTTTAAATATATATAAATATGATAATAGTTTATGGTGGGACAAGCAAATATTCAGGTAGGGCAAGTGAATTTTGACCATGCACTTGCCCTTGGATAAGTGCTTAAAAAATCTATTTGTCAGCCCCTGAATTTTATAAATTTTAGCATGTAAAGATTGTTTCCTATTTAAGTACGTAAATTTACACATTCTCCCACCAACCTTACCTCGTGTGATAAAATAATGTTTATACTGTAAATAGGCGAGATCATCAAAAAAATATCGTCTGTTTTCCATTTTCTTTGAGGAGAAGCTTAAACTTTTATACATTTATATTTGGCCTCAGGGTGTATGGAATAAAACCCGGGGTAAAGCCCTAGGCCGCAGTCATTGCCCGCAAAAAGTGAATGAAGTTTGTCAGGGGTCCCATGACCCTGTAGACTCAGGGCCCCCTAATGTTGTGAGGATGGATATATGGCTCATAAATATAACCTCTTACCTGTCTCTGTATGACCATATTGTCAAACTCCAACCTTCTTTTTAAATCCTCCATCATCAATTTTCAATCACATTTACACCTGCTGAAATTATCAAAAATACACGTAATCCATATTATCATTGCTTTTGATTTGTTTATAAATACAAAAGCGTAATTTGAGGGGGGAAAAATAATGTCAACATTGGAATTGAAGACTTGTGCAAATTGCATTCCCACAACTTTGTCTGAAAATATCGATGATCAGGCGTCATTCCTCAAACATGTCAAATACATCTTGATGTGTTGTAAGAAAATGAATCCAAAAAAAATATAATTAAAAGATACACTTTATTTCATTTATATCAAATCTCTTTCAAATCTTTGAACATAACTAAAGAATTAGTCACTAACGGTATTTTCAGACAAAGTGAAAGTACTCGGCCCATTAAATTGGTGGTTTATGCAGACAATATTACCTTTCTTGCAGTAACTACATGTATTAAGCAATTGTTTATAATAACGGTGTAAGTAGTTGGCGTCATGCAAATTTATACTAGCTTGCTTTCAGTCTTTCTTCTGTGTCTTCACCCTGGCCACTAACGCGCGCCTGCTACTTTCTCTTTTTACGTTTGACACCGATCCCGATGTTTTTCAACTGAATTCAATACTAACCCGAGAAAAAAATTATCATCTTTGGAAGTTCACCAAAAAATTTTAAAAAGTTTTTCCAATATTTTACAGACAATTAACACACAACAGACGACAGACAGACCGACAGACAGCTATACGGACGCCGGACAAAATGTGATCAGAAAAGCTCACCTGAGCTGAAAGCTCCTATTATGCTTTATTGATTTTATAGTGAAAATGCATAAATTCTTTGAATATCTTCTTCTCCAACCCTGGATACTTAGCAGTTAAACTAAGTGCATGGTTATGGTGAGCAAGGGTGCTTCTTGAGAGTTCTGAATTTGATAGCCCCTGGGTCAGAAGTTCTGTTATTTGGGGAAAGGGGGCTCTATTGATTATATAGGGAAATGCATTATTTCTTTTAAAATATTCTCTTCTGCTCCCTGGTATTTAGCAAAACTAAATGTATATTCATAATTAGCGAGGGAGCCTCTTCCAAATTAATAAATTCATGGTCCCTTAGTCATGGGTTGTGGTTTTAGGGTGGGGCTAGATATTGACTATATAGTGAAAATGCACCTGAAATCTTCTTTTTTGCTCCCGGGTATTTAGCAAACAAACATAGTACATAGTCATGATGAGCAATGATACCTCTTGCAAAAGTGTGAATTTCATGGCCCCTGGGTCAGAGATGCCATCGTTAGGATGGGACTCTATTGGTAATATAATGATTGCATTAATTCTTTGAAAATTTTCTCCTTTGCTCCTGGAAATTAAGCAGATAGTTTACGTGCATAGTAAAAATTTGAAATTTGTAGCCCCTGGGTCAGGAGTCAAGCCGACCTCTTGGACAAGTGATCTAGCGTTGACAGGGCTCTATTAATTTATATCCTACTGAGAGAAGTTATTCCCCTTTGCCATTCACCTATGATAATTAATCACTGGAGATAATGTGATGTAAAGGTCAATTTTATAAGACATTTGTATAAGAATTTTTATAATATTTTATACAAAAAGTATTTTCGCAGTTCTTATTGGTCAGGTAGACTTGTTATTTATAGATAAATAAATAAGAGATAAAATACCTTGTCTTTGTACATTAAATGTTCTCCATAGACAAAAAGAGGCCAGTGTGGGAGGGAATAAGAAGGGTATATCAATAATGCTCGAGGACTACATATACTGTTTTGTTTAGTTTACGTGATCGCTATCTAATTAACTTGATTTTTTAACTGAGGGTTTTTTATTTTAATCAATAATGTTTCATTACCGCGGTATTTCCGCAATAAAAACACAAAATTTATAAACTGTGATCATGAGGAACATAATACGCTCTTAATTTCAAGTAACTGAGAAACATGGGACAAGTCCTTTAAGATTTATAAAGGGGCACTAGACTAATTATGTTGTTGATCCCTTATCATTATATTTATTGCTTTTGGGCAACATATAGTTCATCTTCGGTTTGTTTTATTTTATACTTCTATGGACCTTTTACAGTGTTGTATTATACTGAGGTGACCGTTAAGGCCCTTGGGCCAATTGTTTAGTAACAGAATAATTTTTGTCGAGAAAATTTTCTTAAGAAAAGTTTGGTTTATCATAATTATACTCCCCTTCGAAGAAGGGAGGGCATATTGCTTTGCTGCTGTCTGTCTGTCGGTCGGTGGGTCGGTCTATCGGTCGGTCGGTCTGTCTGGCGGTCCACCAGCAGTTTCCGTTCATTTTCTTCGCAGGGGTTACAAACACTGAAATGAAATTTGATATACAGATTTATCATATCTAGGTCAAGTTCTTTTTTTTTTGGATACGATCGAGCAATTTTTGAAAGAGTTGTGCCCCTTGGACTTAGAAAAATTCCAATTATATGCAGTTTCCGTTCCTTTTCTTCGCAAAGATTGCACATACTGAAATGAAATTTGATATACAGATTTATCATAAAATATCTAGATAAAGTTCTGTTTTGGGTACAATCGAGCAATTTTTGACAGAGTTATGTCCCTCGGACTTAGAAAAATTCCAATTATTGGGGGGAGGGGGGGGGTTAAGTGTTTCACAAACATCTCTTGTTTCATAAATTTCAATAATGAGAACTTTTCTCTAAATACGAATTTCACAAAATAATTTTTTAATACTGGTATATAAAGATATAGGCACTCTGTTCATCCATCTTCTTTAGTATGAAATCATTTAACTCTTAGGAAATTTAGAAATAGCCACTCAAAAAAATCGTAGGACTCTATGTCTCAACACCCTCTCTCGGCACAGTGATACCTGTTTGTTCACAAATTTTAAGATGTACTGTATAGTATATCAGACCACCTTTAGTGATTTGATAATTTGTTTGCCATCTAAAGGCCCAGTATTTTATTTATTTTTGGATCGATCCTTGTGTATGAGAAAATTTTGAAATTTATGTTATTGATTAGTTCCACATACCATTTTATGAGTATTTGAATCGAATAGTTCTTCAAAGAGAAAAAAGAAGAAAAGAGCCAAAATCAAAAAACAAAACAAGATCGAAACACTGCTTTTGTAAGCCGAAGAGTAAGTATATGTCCCCTCCACCCCAGCGATGTAACATTGGATTTGAACAGAGAGTAAATTCTCTCTTAAAATTTTACAAACTTTCAAATGTTTAGAAATAGATTACCCATTTTTAGTTCTATGGCAACGGCAGCTGTTTTGGATATTTAAACATCAGGATCCGGTTGTATCAATATTTAATGAGTGATTAAAGCTTCATTAAACTGATCATTTTTAATGTGTCATTAAATTCCGTTGTATCAATCTTTTAATGAACGAATCGGTGCATTAAAGCTTCATTAAACTCCTCAACTTTAATGAAGGTAAGGGGGCTTCATTAAGTGGTCATTAAGTATGGCGGCCAGCCTTATGTTTTGCCAGCTAGGCAGACGGAGAAATGACAGAGTCTTTCGTGAGCGTTTTTCACTGCACACTATGGACGATGAGGAAATTCGGAAACGATACCGTTTCCGTAAAGAAAATATTGGACGGCTTGTCACATTACTGGAACCTTCACTAAGGCATTCCACAAATAGATCGCACTCTTTGTCAACAGAATTACAGGTATAAACATGCTTATTTCCGTAAAAAATCAAATTATGGATAAAAAAACAAATTAGAAATTCCCACTGCGTCAATGCATAATCATTCACTGAATCCAAAATAGACTTTGTTCAATTTGTGACGTCATTTCTTTCGTCATCATCTATGAGGCGGATCTAATATTGTATACATGTACTGTTGATAAAAGCAGCAAAGCGGGACAGATCTAAATAAGTATTATCAATAAATAAATACAGTTGGTTACAGTTTCCTAATAAATATTAGGACTACATGTATAGGTCTCAATAAAATCACAAATAATAAATATTAGGACTACATGTATAGGTCTCAATAAAATCACAAATAATATATATATATATATATATATATATATATATATATATATATATATATATATATATATATATATATATATATATATATATATATATATATATATATATATATATATATATATTTACATTTGCAAATGTTTTCCCTTATATAACACTATTGAAAGCAACGCGTATCTATAGCCGTATAAACACAGGTTCCTCGCGTCATAAACGTTCGACGTAATTTCTCAGTGACGTCATAAAGGGTCGACGCGCAAACAATGGGTCAAATGCGTGCCGTTGAGTTTGAAAAATAAAACATTTCACGCGTTAAAGATTATAATCAGGAAAATATAAAATATGAATAAGTCATAAATGTAAATATAAGTAATAATGTATCATTTTTAAACATCTATCGGATATAAATACGGGTTGGTACGAGATCAAATTTACCATAAAGCCCTTCGGGCTTTATGGAATTTGATCTCGTGACCAACCCGTATTTATATCCCGATAGATTTTAAAAATGATACCTTATTTCTTAAATATATATATATATATATATATATATATATATATATATATATATATATATATATATATATATATATATATATATATATATATATATATATATATATATATATATATGATACGTTAAAGATCTATAGACTGTAACCCCCCCTCCCCCTTCCCGCCCACCACCACGCAATATATTTACGTGGATTGCTTTTTTTTATTGTTAAAGTTTTTTTTTACTCGTAAATAATTTTCTGTAGTCCCCACCCCTACTCCTTTTTGAAAAAAAAATGATGCTACATGCCTGATACTTCTTACATTTTACAAGAAACACTCGAGAAAAAAATCATTTCAGAGATGAACATTATATAAAATTTATATCCATTGTTTTGATATTGTTTTGATATTATCAATAATTCAACGCACTGAGAGAAAAAATATATATTATGGGTAAAATAAAACTTCAAACCATTTTCAAAAAATTACATTTCAAAGTTATGCCTTTATTTGAAAAATAAATAAATAAATAAAAACAAACTTATGCCTAAAACCGACCCTATTTTTCATAAGCATAAAGTAGTAAATCCATTTTTTTTCTAAGACCCACACCAAAATAAAGTAGTGTAAATTGGAATTTTGTTGGATATTATTTTATAAATAATTTTAACTTATTTTAATTTAACTTATCTAACATAATGCGTGTAGACCTATGTATTTTTTCCGCAGAAAAGTAAACATGAAACCAGTTTGCAGATTATAAATTGCGCATAAATAAGTCTACAAATTTTAAATTTTTTTTTCAAATTTAGATTCTGATTGCCTTGAGATTTTATGCCAGTGGAAGTTTTCTTCAAGTTCTTGGTGACACAACTGGGGTCGACAAGTCAACAGTCTCTCGAATCGTTCTGAAAGTGTCGCAGTCACTGGTATCTCTTGCGCCCAGATTTATTAAATGGCCAGCAGACGAGGAGCTAACCAGCATCAAGAGTGAATTTTTTAAATTAGCAGGCTTTCCAGGTGTTATAGGCTGTATCGACGGCACTCATGTGAGGATCCAAGGACCGTCAGAGAATGAACCAGCATTTGTGAATAGGAAAGGCTACCACTCAATCAATGTTCAAGCTATCTGTGATAATGCTGGTATGCAAAAATGAGATTTGATATGAAATATATACTTCTTTTTACGTAAGCTAGAGAGAGATTCTTTGTTATTGCATTTACATAATAATATAAAAATTGTTTTAATATCATTACATAGGATAAAAATTGAATATTAGTGAGTACTTTTTTAAGAACCGAAGCATATTATGATACAGTTATGATTGTGAGTTTTTCGGAAACATTTTGTACAGTAAAAGTAACCAAAAATAACCTTGAAATAACCCCCCCCCCATCCTCCCTGGGAAACGCGCACCTCTCATGAGTTGGTCAGATAAAGATGATGGAGAGTACCTTGTTAAGAAGTATGCAACCCTTCCTAGCTGTTTCGCGTTTGGATAGTCTTTTTTTTTTGTCTGATCAATATTATTTTTACTCGACATTTTTAGCACGACCCCTTACCCCTTACAGTGAAATTCATGGATCCGCCCTAGCACTGGTTAACTGTAGTTATTGTGCCTTTTTGATACAGGTAAATTTACCAACATCGTGGCAAGATGGCCAGGTAGCACACATGATAGCCACATATTTAACATGAGTGGAATAAAGCAAGATATTGAGCGGAACTTCCGCTCTATCAATGATGGCATCATATTGGGCGATAGTGGGTATGCCTGTAAACCATACCTTATGACACCATACCTCCGACCCTCCTCTCAGGCCGAGGAGCGCTTTAATACAGCGCATTCTAAAACACGCGTGGCCATTGAGAGGACATTTGGCTGGTGGAAACGACGGTTCCACGTCCTTCATTCTGAAATCAGAATGAAGCCAGAGAGAGTGTGCACAATTATTGGTAAATATATAATTCGTTAATATACTGTCATTTATAATTAACCATGCGCCTGGTACAGAGAGAAGGAAGCAATTCAGAGAGTTGTAGGTCAAATTTCAAGGTAAAGATCATAAGTCAAAGGTCAAAGTATGCACAGGTGAAATGATTTGATTTGAACATATTTTATTGTAATAATACATACAAAAGGATTGGATACAAGTTCTTTCAACTTAATAAATCCTCTCCTTATTATACAAACAATGAATACAATATATGATTGTCATAATAAATAAATTGAGATAATTTACGAAAATTTATGTTGTACATGTAATATATATGAAAATTATAAAGACACATACTCAGAGTAATCTACCAGAGCTCTAATGTTACTTATACACTGATTACAATGTTTATTGTACAAGAAGCTTTCATATTTGATAAAACATTTAAAATTTTTATTCTGCATATACATATTGAAATCAAAGACACTGTTTTGAATTAGAATCTATCTGATTCTCGAATAAATTTCTGGACACTACAGAAAATTTTAATATTTACATCAGTAGACAAAGATTCGTTTCCGCACAATAAAAAATGAGTATCTATTATATTTTGCTGGTTAAGTTGAAGAATAGTGTTTATTAAGTCATTTCTTGGACGTTCATATTTCTTGCATACAAGGAAAAAATGATAAATGTCTTCAGTTTGGCCGCAAGTACATTTGGGGGAAGAAATTATATTTCTCCGATACAAGTCGCTATTTAAGATACAGTTGTGTCTTAATTTAGTGTGAATTATATTCCAAAAACGTTTTCCATATGAAAAATAAGAGGGAGGTTTAGAGGATGGTGTACAAATACTTTTCTTAAATTGATTGATGGACTGAAATATTGAACCTTATCCTCTTTCATTTAAAAGTTTTGAGCATATTAAAGATTATGTTATAGTATAAGTGTATTTGTGACAGAGAGAAAAATTGACAGACGAATAGGATTACATGTACATCATAATCTTATATGAAATGCGTTTAAATATAGCTTGACAATGAAGTTTAAATCAAAAAATTAAAAACTTTAGAATTTATGTATGCATTTGTTTCCATAACTACACTTTAGGTGCTTGTGCAGTTTTGCATAACCTGGCTATAATGTACAACGAGCCACCGATGGATGAAGATATAACTGTTAATGGAAATATACAGGGAAATTACAATGGACCCGAGGATGGAAAGAACATCAGGAATTACATCACACAACATTATTTCTAGATAGGACAGTACTTCATTGGCTAAATACTCCCATTCTACTGACGTGTTTTTATCTCTCTAAACAGAATTTTAAACAGGATTTTAAAATTTGAAGAACCTTCACTACAGAACAAGTTAAGGACCCTCTAGACTATACACTGATAATAATGTTTTTGGACACCAAGAATATTATATCGTATAAAGGTGTAAATACTGAGTTTTATTTTTATATCATTTTCAACACAGGGTAGTAGTCTAGCCATATACAACCAGGAAAAATGTTCAAAGCCTACGATGTATTGATTGAAAGAAATCACTGTCGAGCGCGCACTGAATCGGGAAAATACATGAACATGAACACGAAGTCTTCAGTTAATTTATGAAATTGCTTAAATTTTTACAGTTTTCTCCCTTGCGGCGGAAGTTGGTGGCGCTGTTGTAGATGCGGTCCTGACATCCATTTTGAATATTGAATAATTATAGATTTGGCTGAATTTATTATATTTTAACATTTTTCAATGCCTTCATCGGGCTGTTGTGTGCCAGGTTGCGTTAATAGGGGTGGACACCGATTTCCGAAGAATGAAAATTTACGGAAACAATGGCTAATTGCTATAAAAAGGGACCAAAAACCCGGAAAGTTGTGGCAACCGAGTTCCACAAGTGTTGTGTGTGGGAAACACTTCCAAGAAGCTGACTACATTCAAGTAACTAGTTATGGTATGTTTATACAATCGATTTATCGTAAAAAAATTTTACTAACTGTTTGTTATGTTAATCTTTGGATTTTTTAAATTATCAGCGTCTAACACTACAGAAGTTCGTAATTAAATCAATGAAGTCAATGGAAGTCACTCGTTTCACTAAGCCATGAGCTATGCGGTAGCATAGCGAACATGGTAACGCATAGCTAGCTCAAGGCTTGGTCAATCGAGTGATTTCCATTGACTTTATTGATAAAATTGCTAACTCCTGTGGTTGCATACAGTACATCATTGGGCAATCCATCATTGGGTTTTGTGAGATGCCTGGGCCAAGGAGGTCTGATCTGAGGTTTTTAAGTCTGCGATATATTGTTAAAAATTATACAATTGATATTAAATGAAATAATTTCTTGAAGAATTTGTCACAAAATAAAATACATTTGTAAATTTTTACTAAGATGTTACTTTTGATATTTAATAGTACTAAAATTAAATTTTATTTAAAGCCATTTTTATTCCTGTAATTTACTAGGCTGAATGATGAAAGAATCCCTGTTTATATTTGATAGTATGTTATTTTGCATTTGACATGTTTTTTGATAGTAAAGACTTTCATTTATGGTACAATGAAGGCCTGACTGAAGTGCTCAAGAATACTTACCATACCGATGCTTTGTCCATGGACCTGAGCTGAACAAGGATTACAAGGGAGTCTTTTTTTTCCCATAGCTTTCTTATCTTAGATTAGATTGCTCTTATCAAAAGTCTTTTATACAATGTCCATACCTTAAGTTGACATTCATTATACTGACCCATGATACTGACCTACTGTACAAAAAAATATTGCTGTAAGTGTGATACATCAAGAATAGAATCAGAATAATTGAAAATCATTCCTCAGATACTTTGGTTTGTGGGTTCGACTCCCACCCAGGGCTTATATTAAGTACAAAGTTCATGATCTCATCATATGCAATTTTGAATTTCTTTTTGTCTTTGATTGAATTTTGTTTTTAAAATTAACAAAATTTGTTTTTGGTTTAATTTGTATATTTCTTTTTGATTTTTAAAACATGTACCATTAAAGTCATGCACTTTGTCATTCTTGGTGAGGAGGAAACTGCCCTGTGCCTCCACCAAAGTGTTTATCAATTTACACTGTACTATAATTTACAGTTTTAAAAGAGGACTTGACAAAATTTATAACAGCTGTATTTTTAAATTATTGTGTATATATATATATATTACATGATCTTTTCCAGTTAATCCTGATCTATCAGAGAATACTCAGATTGACCGACATTTCTAATAAAAGATTTTCTCTTTACATTTTGACAATTATCCTTTACAGAATACTTTAATAAATCTAGCCTTTATAGAAAACAACATAACAAATATAGCCCTTAGATTTGGTCAATCCTTAGATATATGGACTTCACAGAAAAACAGAAAAATTTATTGACCGAGCAAGAAGTGTGAGGATGATAAACTTTTCTGTGATGTCAATATATCTTCTATGGATGGACCTCATGGAAGAGCTTTATTTGTAATATCTATCTATCTATCTATCTATCTATCTATCTATCTATCATCTATCTATCTATCTATCTATCTCTATATATATTTATAAATATATATATAATTAAATATATATAAATATATATATATATATATATATATATATATATATATATATATATATATATATATATATATATATATATGAGAATGGTGTGTTTATTATTGCATGCAGGTACAACACCTTTGAAAAAACAACTGAAGGAAAGTGCTGTTCCAAGTTTGTTTTATTGGACCGAGGGCCTCAAAGAACCTTCATCTTCAGAACCTGGAACCTTAAGATCTGGGAGGGAATACATATCACATCAGGCAGAAAGGACAAGTTGTAGTTTTGAGGCATTTGAAATTCCTACTGACTTGGTTTCCCAAGAGGAGGTTATTGAGACTGATGATTCACCTACTCTACTCTCTTCAGATGAGCCATCACAGCCTATCCATCTGTTGGTGAATTCAGCATCCCAAACACCATCAAGACCAATGTTCAGCATTGAGAATTTCATTAACGATAATGCTGGTATTATGTTCTACACTGGGCTTTCATCATATCAAGATTTTACTTTTGTTTTGCAAACTTTAGGTGAAAGTATATATCATTTGAATTATTTGTACTCGCAGGTTGAAAATATGAACATAGAGGATCAGTTTTTCCTCACTCTTATCAAGCTTCGACAGTATAAAACCAACTTTGAACTTAGCCGATTGTTTAGTATTTCAGAATTTTCAGTTTGCAATATATGGATCACGTGGGTGAACCTCATGTCCTGCCAATGGAGGGAGATTGATTTATGGCCAGACAGGGATATTGTAAGATTTTTTTGTCCTACAGATTTTTTTCATAAATTTCCAACAACGAGAGTCATTGTTGATGGCACAGAGTGTCCTGTGAAAAAGCCAAAACCTCCGATTGCTCAGCAGAGTACGTTTTCAACATACAAAAACAGGAACACGATCAAAGTGTTAGCTGGGGCCACACCAGGTGGGTTGATTTCATATTTGTCCCCTGCATATGGGGGATCTACATCAGACCGCCAGATTGTAGAAAGATCCAGTTTGATGAATTTATGTGACAAAGGTGACAGTATTATGGCGGACAAAGGATTTAATGTACAAGATCTCTTTGCGCCACATGATGTCACTATAAACATCCCTACTTTCTTCAAAAACAGAAACCAAATGTCAAATAAAACTGTTCAAAGAGACAGGAAAATATCAAGCAAGAGAGTCCATATTGAACGTTTAATTGGTTTAGCCAAAACATACAAAATTTTAACTCAAGCATTGAATACAACTGAAACAAAACTTGCATCAGAAATAACCTTCTGCTGTTTCATGCTGTGCAATTTCCGTAGATGCATTATTCCAAAACATGCTTAAGAAAAATAAAGAAAAAATTTAAACACACAAATATTTGTGTTTCTTGGTTACATTAGCACAAAATCACTTACCGGTGATTTTAATTTGAAATTACTTTAGTGATTATTATCTAATCACATACACTGTAAGTTCTACAGAGTTGAGCATATAATGAAAAAAATCTATCAAAACCAGATGTCTGTGATGAGACCGTAGCTGTACTGGTGTGTCCTTTATAAAGAAAGATATATCTTAGTATAGTCTACTTATGTAAAAAAAAAAAAAAAGCTAAGCAGACCAAAAACTGTGTAAGTAGTAGTGTTTTAAAAGAAGTTGAAGAATTTCTATTTTAGTGACCATAGCTACACCATTTGTTGTAATCAAAAGCTGATTAGAAATATGTATCTTAGTATAGGCTACTTCTGTATCAATTTTTTTGACTGGACTAAAACTGTAGGAGTAGTGATTTGAATAATTTTTTACAGTTGGACAGACATAAAGATGCACAATATCAGATGATGCACACCTTACCAATGCATAAGCTCTTCTAGTCTCTGATCATGACAAGTAGAGCTAAAAACTTGAATTGCAGTGATATCAGGACTGAAATACATATATACTAGATGTTCAGAATGAAAAATTGTAATAGTGCCTGAAGTAAAACTTTTCCAAAACTGCATTTTTGAAGTAAGATTGATAGAAATCATCAAGTTTCTTTACCATTGCTTGAATGAATTGCTCATCTCTCTCAATACAAACAATTTTCATGTCTTTAAATGTATAGACCACAAAGTCACATGCATTTTTCTTGCAACAAAATAACTGTCCTTGTACTTGGTAAAAATAATCATGGGAAGTGTCCAATGTAAGTCTTCCATCTATTTGTTTTAGATAAGGCACAGTCTGAGGTGAAATAATTTGATTCTTAACTGAAAAGGGGCATTTTATTTCTACAAGTTTGTCTACCTCTTTGACATAGGCATCAGGAGATGCCGCTATATAGGGGTGTGATTCACTGACATATATTCCACAGTCTGTGGTAACATTGCCAGTGACCTCTGAATACTTCTGTAAGGCTACGGTTTCATATTGCTGCCCATGAAGTATAGGTGCAGCATAAATGGGATGTGATGCAGTCAAAGACTGTGCCAGTTTTACGTGGTCAGTTTTATCTGTTGCCTTACAGATTCTACCAAACCGTGAAGAGTGAAGTCGTTTGCACCTCTCTGTTAACCAAAGTTTGTTCTTAGATTGACCTTTTGTTTGTTTTTCAATTAGATCTATTTTATCTGAAGAAATGTTAGAAATGTTCTGTTGTCTTAGCCATATTTCTGAGAGTTTTTCTGAAGAGTAATCATGATCTAAATCTACTCCATAAGTGTTTGCTGGTGGAAATAGTTGTGAAATTGGTAGATTATTAACTGCTGAATGATTTATGCACCTGTTTCTGAAGAAATCGTTGTAACCTTTTGTTTTCCTGAATTTATTTGGACGAGGGTCAAAATTCACGTCGATATCTGACCTTGCTAAAGGAAGGTCTGCAGCTTTTATTGGACTTCCAGAAAATTTTTTGCAATGATGAAATGTCTGAATTTGTTGTGTACATGTTTCTTCTGTTAAAATTTCTTTAGAGGAAGAGAATTTGGTAAGTGCAAACAAAAGTGTGCACACATGCTTGCAATGGGCTGTTGGACCCATGCCTGCAGCACACTCACATTGACTTTCAAGCAAACAACCATCTTCATCCACACACACATCAATTTTGTAAGACACACTCTTTTTCATTTGTGCACGACACTCACTACGAAAATAATGCAGGTTCTGAAAATACGCCAAACGAATGTACTTCAAGAATCTGTTTTCATATAAATTTTCAGCATTTTTGTCAATACTTTTGTTCATCTGATTCAGAAAGAACTCTACTGCTGACATTTTTATGTTCACACACACAGTGTCTTGATTAATATCTTTGTATAAGGAATGTTCTGGCACACTCATTACAAACTCCTCTCTCTCTACATTCTCAATATCTTTTCCAAAATTTTGGTTTCTATCATAAGCTTCTAACCTATAAAGCAAAATTATACTTAAGACAGGTACACATTAAACTCTGGCGGAGGCACAGGGCAATTTCCTCCTTTACCACGACAAAGTACATGATTCAATATTTAAAAATTAAAAAAAGCTTATTAAATATGCATAATTACTGATATATTATGAGAAAAGACACAAGATGAAACATAAATTTCATATTTATGAAAAAAGAGTCATGTACTTTGTTAATATGTAAGCCCTGGGTGGGATTCGAACCCACAAACCAGAGTATATATAAAATCAAAAATGTCTAGTACAATCAGTGTATTTAGCTATGTAGCTTGAATTATCTACTATTGCTTTATTAAGCAACTTAAAGTAGCTTTATTTAGCTATTTTTATGTAACTTTTCACATTAACCTACTTCAGGTAGGTGTATAAAGCTATGTAGGTAATTCAGGCAATGTAACTAAGTATAGTGATTGTACCAGACCTGTATGTAACATGTTTCTTATTTACCAACAAACTTACCTTCAACTAACCCGAAAAATAAACCTATAAAAACCTATACACTAAAGTATATAGCTGCTATACTTTGATATTTTCAGAGAGACCTGTAAAAATAATCATGATAATGGTGGAACAGTTAATCTCAGCAAGATTTTTCGAGACTAAAAATTTTGAACAGACATCTCTTCCCAATCTCAGACCAGTGCCACACAAAGTGACTTGGGAAATCTTGCCCAAAATTTTTAGTCTTGACGAATCTCGCTGAGATTAGCAGGTGCAGAACAATCTCTTCATTTAGCTATATAGCTTTATTAAGCTTTTCAAAATAGCTTGACAAAGCTATTTATATGCCGTTTTTTACAAATATGTTTTTTGTAAGAAATAGACAAGAAGTCGCAAGTATTTGACTATTCATATATCTACTATGGGTTATCAAATAAGCATAGTTCCAACATTGCAGCTGATGAATACTTTTAAGCAAAAGATGAATTTCATTGTTTGAAGGGTAACTGTACACTACCTTGTGTGTGGTGAGGCATGGATAAGTATGATTGCTTCTTATTGTGCTGAATTATCTTGTTGACCATAACTGTCTTTATATTAAATTTCATTCAAGAAGAAACTATGTAGTCACAGATCAATTGCTTTGTATAGCCCCAAAACTTTTATGGACCTTTGAGTGCAAAGTCTCTCAAGGAGACACAATTTGGTGAGTGATTTTTATATGCATTGTTTTCAGATGGGTTCAAGGTTGAATATTATCACTGCACCAAGGTGCAACTTTTTGTACATGCTGAAAAAATAACACATTTAAGATAACAGTGTGATAAAATAGCTAAATCAAGCTATTTTGAATAGCTTAATGAAGCTATATAGCAAAATCAAGCTATATAGCTAAATCAAGAGATTGTGCCGGACCCGATTAGTGGAACAGGTCAGAGGAATCTCGGATTAACTATCACACTGAATATGCTGACTGATCGTAATACTTACACGTTTCCAATAAAAAGGAGGCTTTATATTCTTTCTATATGCCATATATAAATTATGTTTGTTTATTTTATCGTAAAACATATAATATATACAGTAATACTTCTATAGAATATGTCGAATACAATGACTTCGAAAGTTCGTTTTCAAGGACAACAATAATGATGCTTGAATAAGGCATAGAAGTTATGATTTACCTATCTATGAGCTCTGCCTTTCTCCCCGAGACCCTAGCTCCTCTTTTTCTTAATTCATCTCTCAGTCTGGGAAGATCCCATGACCCATATCCACGATATCGCATACTTGGAACACTGTTTATCATCCGTGTCGCCATTGTTCTAGGACCGCAACGTTTGCTGCGCCACCTGTATTCAGGTGAAGACAACTCGGACGGTACGATGAAAAATGTAAGCCATTGATGCTTAGAATTCTTTAAAAAAAGAACTATTTGATAACATGATTCATATATTTATTAATCTTCATTGGATAAATTTAACTCCAATCGCAATTTTTTATTCATTAATTGGTAATAAATTGTTTGCTCCTGTATCTTTTTCTTTTGTTCTACCAAAACTTCGTACTGCATTCTTGTAACATCTTCGGGCCTTATTCTCTTACGTTGACCTCGATCATTTGGAGTTCCCACTTTTTTTGACCTACAATGCACAAGGGTAAACTTTTACAGTTGTGATTGTGCATGCGGGATTGAAATTCAGCGTTAACGTATGTATGTAAATTTACCTTTTTATGATTAAGAGTAGCTTATGAAGATCTTACCAAACTAAATAAATCTATTATGTATTAGTTCATATATTGATACACGTCTATGCATTATAATGTACATTTGAAGAAAAAAAATTAAAAAAAAAAACATAATAAATTTGGGGTAATTTTATGATTAAACCATGAAATGGTGAGCAAGTTATTGTATTTTCTACGGTTGAACTGTTCATTTAAATTACTAATTTTCTAAGTTTTATTACATGCTTGACTCCACACATGTCTCCATGCTTGTGGCTGCAGTACTAGTTTTATTTTCTATGCTGGTTATTTCTTCCACCATCTGATCGGGCGAGCAATGAGTCTCCTGGATTGGTGTGACTTGTTCTGGCTGAAGTTTTAATTCATTTTGCTGGTGGTCAAGTGGAATCAGCAGATCAGTAAGAATTGAGACGGTATTTGGCGAGCCAATCAAATTGATGTTGCTTTCATCTTTGGTTACAAGTAAAAAAAAAAAGATATAATACTAGTACTACAGTATACCATAAAGGTTTTAGATTGACATCATTTCAAACCACCCTCATTGCCATGCGCAGACCTGGGGGGGGGGGGGGTCCAGACCCCTTTGAAGTTCTTTGGAAGAGTCATACATGTATATATATGAAGCTTGAGAAGCGAAGAAAAGACGCTCAAACAGCCCCCCTCCCCAACTTCATGTTAATTTTGCGTTCTAAATTTTAATTCAACAAAACAAATTAAATAAATTA